GGATATCTTTGCTTCACTTTTATGAACGATGTTTGTGCGTTTTTGTGATCAATTTTGTTTGTTTGCTTGCTGTAATTGTGTGTGCGAGTCTTCATTCCTTCTCTTGCTTGCTGAGGATGGAGCGCAAAAATTTAAAATGTGACGATTTGGACACGCGGTGCGGCACCCAGCCACGGGGAGGTCGTCCGACATGTTCGAGCCTCAGTGATTGTATCGGCGTGAAAAGAGATGTGTCCGTTTTCCCCTAACTCTCAGTGACAAATGCGTGTGCTCCGTTGCACGAGAAGCGGTCATGGTTGGCCCTTACAGCATGACGGCACACAATTTCTGTTTTCAGTGGCGTGTGCGGTTTCTTTTTTGGCTCTTCCGATTATATACCCTCCTTGCTTTTTGTATGACACCAAGGTAAGAAGCAATGGTAAAATTGGTAGACGATCTGTTCCGCATGCGGATGCTGATGGCCGGCGTCTATCTCGCGCTTGGCATTTCGTCCAATTACGGTTTCAGCATCTTTACGGATCATCTGAGGAATAAGTACGGGTATTCGCAAAGCGACATCACGACAATCAGCACGGTCGGGAATTGCGTGAGCTACTGCGGGTTCCATGCCGGAGTGCTGTTTGACTACGTGGGTCCCACAGTCCTGCTTCCGGTTGGGGGTCTCTTTGGATGCCTGGGCTTTGTTCTGTTTGGGATGACATTTGACGGTACAATTACCACATCGAGCGTGGCGCTCTTTGCTCTTTACCAGGGAATTACCTGCCTTGGCCTTCCGATGATGGATGTTTCTTCTGTCATGTCGCTGATGCTGCAGTTCCCCTTGGAGCGCGGCTATGTTGTACTGATCGTGAAGACGTTCAATGGGCTTGGAACCGCAGTGCTGATGGCGTATTTCAACGGCTGGTTTAAGGCGGCGGACTCTGATCAACCTGAGGAGAACAACTACTCCGGCTACGCGTACTTTACTGGGGTGATGATTCTGCTGTGCTCCCTTTTAGGCGCGTGCTTCATACGGTTGCCGATGTACTTTCCGTGCTCGTGGACAAAAAAGCGTCTGAGCAGTGAGGAGGCCGCGGAGCGGGAAAAAACGCTTGACCTGTACATGAGCCAGCATGCCCCCACGCGGCGTCTGCGGACCGGTTTTGCAATTGTCTTTGTTACGCTGATCTTTTCCACCACACAGTCGATCACCACGGCGTACGTGAATACTTCCCGCGCGGGCTACTTGGCGATCTCGATCGTAGCGGTACTGTTGGTGGCATCTTTTTCCGTAATTGCGATGCCGTTCCAGTTTCTGGGCCGCTACACGCCCGTGTGTTCCACGCATGTGGAGGGCATCGGGATCGGGAAGACGACTACAGAGCCGATGCATGAGCGGAAGGGCGAAACTGCATCCGAGTCTGCTGTGGCTGACGGCAACAACCTTGGTGCGAATGGGGTGGCCGTGCCAGCACCGCAGTACAGTGGTTCCTTCTGGTCTCACCTACTCACCGTTGAGTTGTGGGCGGTGTGGCTCGCTTGCTTCGGCACGTTTGGTACCAGCCTGGTGATGCAGATGAACGCTGCTCAGATCTATCGCAGCATGAACAACGGCAAGTTTGACACCCGAACGCTGACGCTGTACGTCGCCATCATGTCTGTGGGCAGTGCTGTTGGACGCATGGCCGTGGGGTATCTCGATATGAAGTTGTTTGCGTTGCAGCGTGAGGGAAAGACGAAGACACTGACGACCATTGCACTTCCCATTGGCCCCCTGTTGTTGATGGCGGCTTACCTCTTCTTTGCCGTGCTACCGGGGAGTGCGCTGCTGCCGCCGTTTCTGCTTGGAGCCATGGGCAACGGAGTTGGCTGGGGCATGAGCGTGATTGCTTTACGGATGATGTACTCTGAGGATATTGGCAAGCATTATAACTTTTGTTTCACGTCCGGTGCCGTTGCGTCTATTGCGCTGAACCGCTTTATGTTCGGGGGGTTGTACGATGCGGAGGCGCGCAGGCGCGGTGAGTTCCCCTCATGCAACCACCCCAGGTGTGTGCGAATCCAGATGTTTATCTTGCTGCTCGTGAACGTGGTCGCCACACTCGCCGCCGCGTTTGTACACTGGCGGTTTTCGCGCTTCACTCGGGCAAGGCTGGATGAGCGGGAGACACCGGGCTCTCTCCAAGACGGGAAGGATATGATCGGAATGGGGTCTGGTGACCAGGCTACTGAGGAGGATCATCTGCAGTCATAGTGGCGATTCTGGCCGCTTTCCGTGGACGGTGCCGCCCGCCCTCCACTCATTGTATTTAATTATATATATAAGCTTTTTAAAAATACCTATTGGTACCTGTGTGTGTGCGTGCGCTGGTGTGTATGGGCTTCTGTGGTCAGGGATTCTTGCCCCTTACCACCGCTGCCACTGCCATCAGTGCGACGGCCGCGCCGTACCGCCGGTGAAGACGCTCTACAATTGACATGGCTTAAGAGAAGAAAACTCATGTGAATGAAATATCGTAAGAAATAACTACGCCCTGCATCTGTTGGTCGTCGCGATAAAGGCGGGGACTCTGTCTGCTTACTGCATTGAATGTGGCGGCTGTGGGCAAAGCGATGGCACACGAGGCCGTTGCGAGCATATATTTGCCCACTCACTCGCTGTTGCATTCCACTTTTGGTTTGGTGCGCAGTGAGGAGAGTTTTAACGTTTTTGGGTATTTGTTTGTTTTGAGATCCTGTTTTTTATTCACTTGGCCTTGTTGGCTGTTGATGTGGAAAGAGCGGCGTATTTCGTTGCACGAGGCTTGTGGAAGGAGTGCGGGCCCAGATGGTGCCAAATAAATGCGTGGGAAACTCATATATAAACCTTCTTTTTTTCAATCTATTGATTGAATTTTTTTTCGAGGGCAGGGCGGCGGGCGTTTGTTGTTTTTGAAGGATGGCGGCCCTTCCCTGCACATTCGGCGAGCGGGCAGGCCCTGGCTGAAGTTTTCTGGAGCAATTCGGCCGACGTAGTTCCATTCGAGTGATCATCTTCAGGCAATTATCCGGCGGTTGCGAGACCCAACGTGAGCCCTCGGCTTTGATTGCCGTGGCCGGTCTCATCCCATCGGACCGTGCTGGCTGGACGTCTTGGTGGGATCTTGCGGTGTGCGGAAACGCGGCGGGCATGCACACTCCGGGCTGGCCACAGCTTTTGGCGAGTCATCTCTCACCACGCATGAACGCGGCGGGGGCGATTGGACGGGGGCAGGGCATACTAACCACCAAAAATCTGAATTTTCGGCACGACTATGTCCAGGCCACCGGGGACCACCAGCATCTTTGCGCTCTTTTCAATGCGCAGCTGGCGGCTCAGGAGAAGAGGGACTCCGTGTGACCCTCGCGGAGGGCCCTTCCGCGAGAAGTGCAGGACTTTTGGGAAAAGGAGACGCGACCGTTGACGAGGGAGAGGCTTGGAGAAGCCAGCGCCGCCCGAGTTCACCTCCCAACCGCGGGGTGGCAACTCCCTGGTGTCCAAGCGTCGCCTTGTCCCGTGGGAAACTCCTAGCATCCTTGTTTTTGCAACGGCGGCGGGGACGATGGTGGTGGCCGTGAGCCCCCGAATGCATGCGTTCCTCCACTTGCCCAGGGCTCCGCAACGACGTGCCGAGCCGGGAATTGTCGGGGGATGGGGGGAAGCCCCGGGTTCCGCATTCACGAGGCGGCTAAATGGGTCTCTCGTTCCCAGAGTGGGGCTTGCAGGCTCTGGAGCTGCTGCTGCGCAGGAGCCCGGCGACTGGGGATAGGAATCCACACATGTTCAGGAGGCGCTCGCGAGCCCCATGGGATGGGTCGGGATGGGCGGTGATCTTGGTGCGCCGTCGTCGGTGGTGTTGAATTTCAGCGACGCCCTGCGCACGATGACTTTTGGGCGGCGCGCCCTAGCATTTTCATGATGGGGCCGCGTTCATTTTTGCACAGGACTATGTACGAGGCGGGCGCGTTGGCAAATTCTACCCAGCCGCTGACCGGGAAGGAGCAGCGAGCACGATCTTCTCGTGGCCGGCTGTGCGGGTTATTTGGGCAATAAGCGTCTTGGGGCTTCTTGGCGGCAGTGGATGCGCTGCTGCGTAGCTTTTGCACAGCAAGTTCTGCTCGTCCGGCCTCCAATCCGTCCGGTTACGCGGTTGCATTCTGTACTGCATTTGATGCACCGCAGCAACTATCAACAGCTGTGATTGTTGTTTGCCGTCAAAGACGCGTGGCTGTGGTGCACGGAAAATCTGGCGTCTCCCTTTCTAGATGAGTAAATGCGACGAAAAAACGCGGTTTTCAAGGAGGTGCAGGCCTTTTCTACGTGGCAACAGACTTTGTTGCCAGCAGGTGATGTTAATGCCTTTTTTCTGGTATTTCAGCAGCCGGTGATCGAGGAGAATGCGGTAGCATTCTTCATCGCCAAGGAAGCCGCCCCTGTGAGCAGGCTCCAATATGTCCATGTGCTACAGGCCATTGTGCATGTGGAACGGATGCCCGTGGACAGATTTAGTGTAGCTGCTTTTGTCTGCGGCCCGTGTCGCATTGTGGAAGGAAGACCATCGATTATATTTTTTTTTTGCCTCGTGTGTGTGCGTGTGTTTTTTTTTTTTGGGGGGGGGGACTTTTCTGTTGAGTCCTCGGAAGGGCAAATTGAGTGCTTACGCCAGAAAGTCACATCTTCTTTGTGTAACTGTCCCAAACCTGTCTTCGCTTCTGTATTTAATCTTTTCGATTTTTATTATTTTTGGAGGTACCTTCCTTTTTTTCTTTTTTTTTTTTCTAGGATAAAAAAGGGAGGCTTAAGTTGGGTCTGGGCAGTGGACGCGGCCGCAATAAACGACGGGTTTGTTGGACTTACTACTGGCACTGATCCCTTTTCGGCGTACGAGAACTACAGGGAGAACCCTATAGGAATACGCTGAGGGACGACAGCCATTACTAGTACTACTAATAATAATAACAATAATACTAACACTACTACTACTGCCGAAACTAAATTTCCAATGGAATTGTCAGTGTCTCCTGATGTACAACGTTCAAAAGGGTATGTGTCTCACTCATTCCACAATCTAAAGGTGCCTTTTACAGCTACTCTGGCTGACGAAAACGCATGGCCAGAGGCGGTGTTTGCAGGTGGCATTTCGCATGATTGGACGTCCTCGACTGGGAATTTACCCAGTGGTCAGCCGGTGGAGTCGTTGGCGGCGTGTGGCGGTGGCAAACCATCGAATAGCATGAAATGCACACTCTCTGGCAGCACGTTGACTAAGTGGAAGAGCGATAGCAACGTGGCGGCGAAGCTATTGGGGAACGCTGATATCATGCGGGCGGGCGTCGCCAAAACAACTCCCGTAATGCCCATCGAAGACGTTCGTCGCATGAATTGCTGTGGGGGTTGTCAGGTTCATTTGGGGCGCAGCGAGTGTCATTGTCATCACCAAGACCAACACCACCACCACCAGCAGCAGCAGCAGCAAAAGCCGTCCGTCATGAGTGCGGGTAACCCCAGCAATAACGAGATCCTTAATGGCCATTTTCAATCTGCTCGTCTTTCATTTTTTAAGAAGGCGTTTAGCGGCAACCGACCTCAGCATCATGGGGGAAATCCCCGGCATCACCAGGCCCACCATTATCAGCAACACCACGGCAGTCATCACAATCCTATCCATGTTGCTGGACCTGCTCGTCGGTCTCACCGGCATCGCGGATTTGGTGCCGCTGCAGTGGAGGTTATTCGCAACCGGACATTGGCTGGAAACAGCTCGCCGCACCACAAAACACGCTCTCCGGCGAATAGGGGACGCAAGCGGCATTGGAAACCCTGTCACGTCAACGAACAGGAGGGTCATACGGAGTTTCTTGTTCCATTGCCCCGCTCGAGGTTATCACTGGATGGCAGACAGGAGTCCTCGACGCCAGTGGATGAAGAAGTTAAAACGAAATTCACTGCGTCAGGGTCCGAATTAGGTAGCGGGGTCGTGGGGGATAATACTCCTTCGGCTTTCCGTTTGTCGAACATTGCGCCCTTTTATGAATGTGCAATTCAACAACTTATTACGATTTGCGGACGGCGAACATCCAACGCGCCCGAAGCTGCGCATGGGACATCATGCAATGAGAATCCAGAAAATTTACAGAAACCGATACTGTCGTCTTGTCTCGCGAGCATCCGCTCATTTGACATGGCATCTTCAGTGAATTTGAAGTCTTTTTCAGCACCCCCATCAAAGTTTTCATTATCGCAGCATGCCCTTTTCACAAGAACCCTCTGTTCCAGTGTTGGGGGATCAATGCAGCATGGGAGTGGGATGGAAGAGACTTTTTGTTCATTAAACGATATGGATCCTACACAGAATGAAGGACAGCAGAATGAAGAGAAAGAAATACAATCTGTAGCTATGGCGAGTGGAGACGCCCCGAAACTTGTATCGGAAGAAGTAAAAGAACAAGAAGCATCTCCTACAATGGTGCAGCAGTTAATTGAATCTATTGGAGTTCACGTGGCGTATGGTGATGCTGCTCCTATGGTGTTAATAGGGGCTTTGGTGTACATATCACGTATTACGCTACAGTCTCCTTCTGAAGACGTTGGTGTAACAAATGCGAACTGGTACCGTCTTGTTGCCATTGCCATTTTAATCGCGACGAAGATGTACGTGGATGGTTCGCGGAAGTGGAATGAGCGCATTTCCAAAGCCACTGGTATCTCATTAAAAGAAGTTCAAAAACTTGAGCTGGATTTTTTGTTTCTTATTGACTTTGCGTTGCTGATAAAGGAGGAGGAGGTGGAGACATGGGCGGAGTGGATGGAGTCGGTGGCAAGAAAACGCGGAATGTCCACGCAACTGCGTGCGTTTATTTTTGGCAGAAACAGTTGTCCTCCATCTACCGCCACAACACCGTTGTCTTCATTTGCAGGAGAGGATGCTTTTTCACGATCTTTTTCGCATATTCCGTCGGGAAATTTGCCATCGACGCCCGTCTCGCTCACTCCGGCAAACATGACACCTCAGATCAATGCCCATGTCTCCCCTGGAACAATGAAGTCGGCTTGCCTTTCCCAGCGACTTTCCATGTCTTTTGTACTGGATTTGGCTGAGAAGCATCCTAGACCAACCTCGCATTTGCATCCCTCACCGTCTTCGTTTCACGCTTGCGAGACCCCAAACCAGTTTTTTCCCTCACCCATGTACGCTTCACTGGATTTCCACAGAACGGAGCGTCTGTTTTCCATCGTGCATGCGCCCGAAGAGCCCTCGACACCGGTAAAACTACTGGAGGTGTCACAGTTATTCAATGATGCTCCAAACTCCATACCGTTTACGCCGCCCGAGCAGGAGACCCGGTCACCCATTGAATTTTTTAAGAGGTCTTTTCTTGCGGAGGGGGCGTGTAACAGTGACACATCTTCAGGGAAGGCGAGATGTGGCATGGATGTATTTCAAAAAAGTACGGGCAAGAACGACGCTCGACGCTTGGACTTTGATACTTTTGACGCGTTTGATGAGGAACAAACGCCTCCACATCGTCCACTGAACGTATTGTCTCCGCCCGATCAACTGAATATAGCATTACCTCCTCGTGCGGAGTACAATTGTTTTGCAAACTTCAAAAAGAACAATAGTAATAGGGATATTCCATTCAATAACGGGAAAACTTTCACTGTAACAGCGCCACAGTTATTGTGCTCTTTTCCTCAAAAAAGAGAAGATAAAAATGTGCGAGAACATGCAACAAGAAGTTCAGCATCTGGTTCCGCAGAGAAAAGAACCTCGCGGACCAAGGCGGACACGAATGAAGTGACACCGCATGTTAAAATCAAATCTAAGTACGATAAATTGGTGCATGCTATATCGAACGTCCGTGAGTTATTTTCTGCGAAGCCGTTGTGTGTGCGCGACACCCCCTTCAATGTACTGAGCGTGGCTACGGATGGTAGCGGAACCGCAAATATTGGCGAACGGGACATGTATAACAACAACAACAACAGCAAAGATGTTGATGACCGTTATGTTGCTGAATGTGATGAAGATGAGGATCACGATGAATTTTTGGACGAATTTGAAGACGACAGGGATAATTTTTTTCTTCGGTGCCGCCCGGTGCTGACGCACTCTCCACCGGCATAAAAACACCTCTTCAAACTGAAATGACGCCCCACTATTTCCTTATCCAACGTGCACACGCAGACACACTACGACACACACACACACAAAAAAAAAAAAAAAAAAAAAAGAGCTAGGGACCGGCGGACACAAAAGTAAGGTCAGTGATAGAATGGGGAGGGAGACTACAATGTTAAATCAGGGTGCATTGTATGCCGGGTTTTTGTTTGTTTTGGTTTGTTTTTTTGCTCTTCTTTCTGATTATACGAAAAGGAAAAAGGAAAAAGAAAATAAAGTTGTTTTATTATTTTTATTGTTTATTTATTTCTCTGCGTTTTTGGTTGTGTCACCTTTTCTTTCTTCCTTTGTGTGTGTGTGTGCGTGTGTGTCTGTGTGTGTGTGTGTGAATGACGCTTTCACCCCCCGTATTCTATCAACTTTCTTTTCTGCATTGGGATGGGATGTACAATGAAACAAGAAAAAAAAAAGGAGGGAATAAGACGGGCCTCTATCAACAACCATGCATGCATATATATATATGTATATGTATATATATGCATGCTAAATGATTGTCATCCCATTGTTATTATTATTATTATTATTTTTATCCCTTTTTTGTGTGTATTCTCATATAAAAAAAAAAAAAAAAAAAAAAAAGTTTTTTTTACAGATTTTATTGTGTGCGTGTATGTGCGTGTGTGAATTTGTTTAGTTGCTTTATTTGCTTATTTTTGCCATGTGCGCATCTTTGAGAGGTTTGTATCCGGGGGTATTGCTTCAGGGAGCAGTTATTCTGTGCGAAGAGAGAGGGCGGAAGGAAATTAGGTGGTGGTGGTGGTGGGGGTGGGGGTAATGCGCCACCTCTTTTTCGTTACACCCCTTCACACTGTGCGTCGCACGCCCTTTACTTTGCCTTTTTTTTCTACCCCTGTATTTTTTTTTTTTTTTTTTTTTTTTTTCTCTCCTCCCTCCCCTGGAGTCATTTTTTTTTTTTTTTGTTTGTTTGTTTGCTCTTTTCTCGTTTGTTTTGTTTTGTTTGTCTGCATGTGTGAAGGCCATTCGTTGCTCTCCTTTCACTCGCCCTTTGCAGATTGTGGTGGCGGTACTGAGAGCGGGAGGTCCACGCGCAACTTAAAAGAAAAAAGAAAAGAAATATATATTTTGCGCGTGTAGGTGTAAAGAGGGGGGAGGGGGGCATATGAGCGCGAAAGTGTCGACTGCAACTTTGCCCGCCACGCCCTCTTCTCTCCACCTCCTGGCAGAAGAAAGAAAGAAAGAAAAAAGAAAAAAGGGAGGCAGTGAAGTGGGGAGGGACGCGTGGGAGAAGGGCTGCCGCGCATGTTCCTTCGCGATGTCAACACGAGGCATCGTTGTGGCTCTCCAGCAGCGCACGCATCGAGTGGTGAACGCTCTTTTTTGTTGTTGTTGTTTCCTTTTTTGTTTTGTCTTTTTATGGTCGTTTACAAAATTTCTTCCTCTCTCTCATTTTCCCAGAAAAAAAGAAAAGAAAAAAAAAGAAAAAAAAAAAAAAAAAGCAACACGCACACCGAAAGGGGTCGTTGCGAAGAAGAAAAAAAAATAAATAAAATGCACATAAAAAACAGGAATGATAAAATGATGTCGCAACGGGTGAGGTGAGCCGTACATATATATATATATATATATATATATATTTGCTTGCATGTAGGTGCTTATGCATGTGGATATTGGACGGCACAATGATTCGAGAAACGCAAATTATAACCCCTTTTTTGTTTTTTTGAATTTGCGAAGACCAAAGCCAGAAAGAGGGGAAGAAGGGGGGAAGGGGGATGGAGATGGATGGAAGAGAATGACACGTTTAACTGTGACGATTCTCTTTGCTTCCTTTTTTACAACTTTATCCTCTTGTTGCATTTTTGCTTTTTTTTTTTTTTTTTTTTTTTTTTTCTTTATATATATATATATATATATTGTTTGGCCTTTATTTATATTTTTATTTATTTAATTTTTTTTTTTTTTTTTTGGGGAGGGGGGAGTTCACATTTTATTGTGACTTTTTGACTCTTTTTGTGGGTGATTGATGTTTTTGTCTGATGTTGTTTGCTTTGATGTTTCTTTTTCTTTTTCCTTTACTTTTTTTTTTCTTTTCTTTTTTTTAGGGAACTGTGGAAGGAGTTTGCCGTCAAATGGGGCCAGGCAGATGATACCGCGTTGGAAGATGCTGCTTTTTCCACTCCTCCCACCCACTCCTTCCCGCTGCTGCCGCTGCTGCCCTCCATGCGGTGGACAGGGGAAGGGTTAGGGGGATTGCGGGGCCCTTTCAAAGCCTGTCCTCTCGTGACTTCACAACAGGCCGGACTGTTGCGTAATGTCTCTTGTATGAATTTGGCTCTTTAACGGGTGTGTGGCTGTTGGATGAATCTCAAGCGGACTGCAGGATGCCAGGCACACGGAACCAAGCTTTAATCTTCGCTTTTTTCTTCCTTCTTTCTCCTTGCGGGAAGCAGAGCGACTAGGCATCGGCCAGACACGCATTTGTTTTTTGTTGTATTTTTTCTTTATTGTATTTTTCTACACAATATTTTTTTTTTAAATTATTTTGCATTTTTGTTTTACAGGTTTTTTTTTTTTTTTTTATTTGCCCCGTGATGCCTGGAGACTTCACGACGCGGAAGCTGATGCTTTTTTTTCTACACACATTACTGCACCCGTATCGTCTTATATATATGTATATCTTCTTCCTCTTTTTGATTTACGTTTGTGCCCTCATCTCTGTGTCCGTGTGGACTGTTTGCCTTTAAACCTGGACACACTTTTTCTCCCCGTCTTATTTTTTCTCTGTTTAATGTGGATTTTTTTTTGTTTTTTTTTTTTTTTGCAGGGAAATTGCGCCGCGTGTACTCCGGTCTTGCAACCACAAGGAGAGAGGAACTGGTGGTGGGATAGCGCTTGAGTGCAATCGTAAATATTTTCGAAGCAGCAACACGATTAGGGAAGGAGCGAAGGAAGTATCAAAGGAGTGGGGCCAAAAGGAAAACAAAAGCGAAAACAAAAACAAAAAAACAAAAAACAATTGTGTACGTGTGTGTAGGCGGGGGAAACTGTTGGACGGACATACGTTTGTGCAGATTTCTTTATATTTTATATTTAGATAGTCTTTCCTTCTTGCTTTAAAAAAAAAAAAAAAAAACTCTTGTGTGTCGTGCGTGTCCTGCAACTCTGTGGGTGACGATAGCAAGAGACATGACAAGGTTTGCGGTGGGGACACGAAATTCGGATAAAACCTGCCGCAAAAGACGGCAGGAGGAGGTAAATTCCAGCAAGAAAAAGGACGTAGCAACGGCCGTTGTGAAGGAGGCGCCAGATGGTGAGGGGCCATTTCTCCCACACAACACTCCGGACGAGGGAGGACGCGAATCGCTGCCGTCGGTGTCAAGGCCCGTCGTCAATCTCTTGGACGTTGTGGCGGAGGAAGACAGCCTCACACCGACCGCTGCTCGAGATGCAGCAGGAGGTGGTTGTAAGGGCTCCAAGGGCGGCAAAAAAGGGAAGACGACAGCGATGAAAAGTGACGATGCGGGCAAAAAGAGGGTGTTGTCTGGTACATCACCAAAGAAGGGAAAAGCAAAGCAACGGTCAAAGGCGTCCAAGACGAAGCCCGGCAAGGCTGAGCGTGGAGGGGAATCTAGTGTCGCAAATGCGGGAAAGGGACAGGGCGAAGCGGACAGCAAAAAGGAAAATGACGATCATGCGCTTTCGTTGCGTCAGCAAATACCTGAGATGAATAACATTCCCGTCAAGGTGCACCTTGTGGAACATGATATCTCAGAGCTGCAGATTGATAGGACGTCTTGTAGAAATGGCACCTCATCTTCTCGTTTAAATCCTTCACGTGATTTATCCAGTTTTAATGATTGTTTGGAGGAAATGAATAGTTGCGATTTTATTAGCAATAATAATAGTAACAAGAACGGCTTGAGCAACAACTCCAATGAGGGTTTTTTATCACTGAAGGAGCAGGACGCAGCGGAGAAGCCACTCTCACTGCGTTACTCCGTGATGCCTCCCCTGACCATTCCGAGGGAGGGACGAAAGGAGCACACGCAACAGAAGGATGGGGCATCAAAAAATGCCTCCGTCCATGCGTCACGTGCACCTTCCGCGCCCTCTGTAAGTTTGGTTTCTGGAAATTCATCTGGTGCCGATACAAATGGAGAAAAATTTGCCAGAAGAAGTGCACATTCATCTCTTGAAGAGGCATTAGATGGATTGTTGCCAAAAAACATTTTATACCCAACCCGACAACTTCTCACTCGAAGTTTGGCCTCAGCAGCCGAAAAGGAACGTACTGCGACAATAGTATTTGACCTTGACGAGACGTTGTGCAACAACCGTCAACATGGTCCCGCAATACTTCGTCCCGGTGCTGTGGAGATGCTGAAGCAACTTAGGGCTTTGTACCCTCATCCGGTAATGCACAAGGGCGAAACACCAATGGAGCCCACCGGTAAAAATTCTTCCACACAGGTACTGGAGGGTGGGAAGGACAACGGCATCCAAAATCGTTCTCCAGAGGCGACAGAAACTCCCACAGATGACGGCGTCATGTTGCGACTTGAGATTATAATCTGGACAGCGAGTGTGGAAGTGGTTGCTCGGCCCGTTATTGCCCGCTTGGATCCTGATGGTACCATTCTCGACGATGTCATTTATCGTGATGTGCGTTGGTATCGTGACGGAGGGTATACGAAGGACTTACGCCGTATCGGACGTCACCTGGAGCGTAACGTCATTGTAGAGAATGCGCCTTCTTGTGTTTGTATGAATCGACGCAACGCCATTCTCGTGAACGACTTTGTTAGCAATCCTGCCGATCGGCAACTCGTTATTGTCCGTGCTATTTTGCAGGAATGGCTTTATAATGTCAACGCGTTGCTTGTACATTGGCACTTCCAAAAGCTTAAACAGAAGCGACACAATATGATAGAAGATGGCGGTGAGAGTCCCGAGCCTGACAAGCCCATGATTACCCCTCTCACTCGAGGTGGTTCCGCGCATAGCTCCGTGTCGAGAAGTAAAGGAGAACTTTCTCTTTTGTCATCATCCCATGGCGGGGGGAATTTGTTGCAGGAACTGGAGCAAAAGGCCTCAGCGATCCATTTTCTCACGCATCATCCGTTTCTTTCGCCGGGAACGCGTTACGTGAAGCCGTCTGTATGGAAAAAGGCTGCGAGGTATCTTCACGGCTGCGCTGGTTCGAACACAGCAGCAGCCAAACCTTTGATGGCAATGCCAGCAGCAATGGCAGGAGAACTTGGAGGGGGACGAGGTCCCCAGGAGCTGCCGGCCACCACTCCGGCTCGTCCAGTGGTTTCTGCAAGGCCGCGGGGACACCGCTCGTTTGTCGACATGGCGCGTGGACCGCGTGAAGTCCGTTAGGGCCGTAAAAGCGGAGGCAGTTTTTTTTTCCTCGTGCACCCGTGCGCCGTTCCTCCTGGAGTATTAGCCCGGAGTTGTGGGGTTGAAGGAGAACGCAACGGGAGGGAAGAAGAGGAAAGGATAAAAAAAAAAAAAAAAGGGCCAATGGCACCAAGATGGACCCACTGTTGCAGCCACGACGCCATGTTTTATCAGGCGTTTCATGATTTAACATCCTTTGAGAATACTCACAAAATTTCATTTTTTTCTCCCTCTCAAATATATATATATTATATATATATAAAGAAAAAAGAGAGAAACAGACGATGATGACAAAAAAAAAAAAAAAAAAAAGGACAGAATGAAAGGAAAAGAGAAAGCGAGAGAGAGATAGAGAGAGGGAGACTAAGCAAAATGATTGATTTATCATTATGAAGAGAAAGTACACTGATTAATTTTTCCTTTTGATTTGATACAAAGAGCCATATTCATATATACATCCTCCTTGTCTCATGACTCTGAACACACGAGTGCGGGCAGAAGCGAGGGAGTGGAGAAACACGGATAAAACGAAGAAAAAAAAAATTTCTTAACCAGTCACATGTCAAAAGAAGAGAAGAGAAAAGGCCGATGAGGAAAAAGGAAGGTGAACAGCACTGGTTTGTTTCTTTGCCTTTTTATTTCATCCCTCTATTTCTTTTTTTTTTTTTTTTTTACCTGGTGATTTGTTAATTCCCATGCTTACGGGAAGTGTTGAAAGAAATGTAAAAATGTCTCTTTCACTGTCGGTAGACCCCCAGAAGGAAGGAAATAAACGGGAGAAGAGATGTTTCACACAAAGACACACACATATATACCACACACACACACCTCAAAAAGAATGTGTTTTGTGTATGCACATCCCATATTAATAACCCAAGAAGGGTCTGTTTTAGTTTTGTTGTTGTTTAGTTTTTAGTTCTGTACGTGTTTGCACTTGTGGTGGAGCGTCCCTTTTATTTTTTATTTTTTTGGGAGGAGGAGGAGGAGGGGGATGGGGGTGCCTTGGTTGCTGTTGCCGTTTCATTTAAAGGCTAGGAGAAGCAATGATGGAATTCCTTTGCAACCATTTTTCCATTTTTTTTTTTTTTTTTTCTTTCTTTCTTTCTTTCTACATTTATATACAGACGTATATTATATATATGTATATGTATGTATATATATATTACTATATTATCTGGCTGTTGGATATGAATGGAGTGTGCTGCGAGAAAGTGAAGCTCATTGGTCGTGTGTGCTTCATGGAAAAACGTGACCATCATCACCGCCACAAGAAAAGTGTGACAATTGAAATTTCTAAGAGGAGTTGCTAGTAAAAAAGCGTGTTTGTGTTTGCGCGTGTCTATGTGTGTTTTTGTGCGTGTGAAAACCCCTTTTTTCTTTTCTTTTCTTTTTTTTTTCTTTTTTTTTATTATTCACTGCGGCTAATTTCCTTTATTTTTTTTTTCTTGTGCCAGTTTGTGGGATGCGAGAGACCACGAGGGATTTTGTGGGAAGTTGGAGAAAAAAGGGAATCCGGGGTGGAGCGTGGGGCGCTGCTCTCCCTCTCTCTCTCTTGGGGAGGGGGATATTCTTGTTTATTATTTGAGTTTCTTTTTTTTTTTCTTTTTTTTTTTTTGCATCTCTTATATTTTTCTTTTTTTTTTTTTTTTTTTTTTGCATCTCTTATATTTTTCTTTTTTTTTTTTTTTTTTTTTTGCATCTCTTATATTTTTCTTTTTTTTTTTTTTTTTTTTTTTTTCTTTCCTTCTGCGTGTTTGCTGCTTTTCTTGCGTATCCGCCCCATTCCACTTTTTTTTTTATTCACTTTGTTTTTCTTCCCGTGTTTTTGCTGTTGCGGCCTTTATCCTCTTGTTGTTGTAATCCTCCTATTGCAATGGAGCGTTTTTCCCCACCCCTCTCTCTCTCTCTCTGCGTATCTGTTTGCCCTTCACGGCATTGTGTTGCAGCTGTCTCCTCCACGGGTGCTTTTTCTTTTTCTTTGGTTTTTGATTTGGGGAAGTGTCGGGTGTCATGCGGCAAAGGCAGCGACAGTTACGCCCCGAATTATTGGCTCCGGCGGCCGCGAAGCCGAGGACGGCGTTGTCATCGTCGTCGCTGTTATGGGCGCGACGATGTGCGGGGTCGTCCCTCTCCGGGAAGAAGCAGTCACCCGTGACCCCGTTCTTTGCCGCGTTGTTCCCCGCTCACTTTGCGGGAGGCGATGCCGCAGACGATGTTGCTTTGCGTCGAGTGTCATTTGTGCGGCGTGCCTTGTTGGCGAAAGGGGAGAAGGCCGTCGGCGGTGCAAGGACTGCAGGGAGTAAGTGGTCCGCTGCTGCCACCGCCGCTCCCTCTTCTTCTGTCGTTTCCTTGCGGCCGTGGCACGTGATTGCTAACCTGAAGCATGCCGTCCTCTTCGCCATGAATGACGAGGAGAATTCCAACGAAAAAAAGGCGGGTGAAGCTGAAAAAGGCTGCAGCACCCTCCATCAAGACGATGAGGATGAAGCGACGTGCCCACGGAAGGGTGTCAAAAAGGACGAGGGAGAGAAATGTGGGGACGGAAAACGACATGTGGCACCTTCCGAGATTGTTAGACTCGTACGTCATTCTATTCGCATTGTTGAACAAAAAAACACGCGGGTGAGAGTGGAATTGATGATGGCGGATGCCAACGCAGTAGGAGGCACGTCTCGGTTACAAGAAATGGATGATAACTTGCGGGAAGAGAAGGATGTGTTGCGGAATGTCCTACGGAAAGTACCAAAAGAAGCGCTGATGTCATATGTTCTTGGCGGCGATGATGGAATGGGTGGGGCGGCAAACTCAACTTTGGAGCCTCTGCGTTTCGCCTTGAAACAGACAATGCGTTCTTCTGCATATGCGTTTCATCTTACTTTTGAGGCGCTTTTGCGTCAGGGGCAGGACCACATGGCAGTGGAGCTTTTTCGTCGCTGGTGGCGTCATAACCCGCACTTATTCCCGATTGAGCTGGGGCCAGACCTTGGGCAGGATGTATCCTCAATGCTTTCTGTCATCAGGGCAGGAGGCGACACCACCACCACTCTGCAACGGGACATGATCTTCAGACGCCTAGCACAAATTCCCTACAAGAAATACACGGTGACATCGGCGTTGTTCACGCGGGTCATGAAGGTGGCGTTGTGCCTCGGCATTCCTGCACTGGAAGAAGAATTTGTTTTACAGGAACTGATTTACAAGGGAGTGTATATGGCTTGTTGTGCTTCTCGCACTGGTAATGAGAATGGCAATGGTCAGAAGACGGAGACCTCGGCGTCTCATACAGATCTGCATTTTCATGCGTTTCAGGAAAATTACGAAGATTGGCTTGTACTCATTGGAGCCATAGCGGCAGCTGCGGTACTAGAACGTCATGCCGAGGACTTTTGGCGGGAAAAGCCTGGTGGGACGTTGTACGATCGCCTTGTATTTTCCGTCCGTGAAGAATACACAACATTTATCACGAAAGCATGCTGTCCGCAATTAATTCACTCTTCTCCCGCAGACTTTGGGGCGGCGACGAAGCGGGGAGGGGAACCATCAAGGCCATTGGTCGTGCCAGGTTGGACCAGGCTACTCTTTACGACTGTGCTCCGCTGCTATGAAGAGGCAGGCGTGTTTCACGCCTCGCCTGTTCGCCGCCCGGGAAATTCTGCGGCACTCTGGCGGGAAATTCATACCCGACTGATTCGGCAGTTTCCACATATATTTCACGCTGCAAACACCGTCACGACTTTACTTTCCTTTGCGGCGCTTGAAGAGGCTGCAGTTTCGTCTCTGGGAACGTGTCGAATGTCTTTTTCGGGAAAGGAGGAGGCGTTGTGTCGTTGGCGTCTTGAGTGTTTGTCTGAGCGAGAGGAAAGGAATGGTGGTGACGGTACCTTTCATGAGTTCACGCAGTCTCAGGCCTTAAGTGATGACCCTCGCACTTCCAGACGTTTGCGGGCCCGTGTTCTCACCGCACACAGCGCCCTTTCAACGAAGACTATGAAAGAAGAATCCGTCGACAAGGACTCCAGTACTAATGATGCGGAGATGTGTGCTCAGCAGCTGCATTGGAAACACCGAGAGTTATTTGGTCATGCTTTAAGCGTTTCAACCTCACAACTCAGCATTCCCGTGTTTCTGAAGTCACAAGAAGTCATCAACTACGCAGAGGATGCCATGGATGAGCTGGAAGCCGCCCGACATAATGTTGTTGAGATTTTCCGTGAGCATGCGTCGTTGCCCATGTTGCGTCCCGCGTCTCATATTGACGTTTCGAATCCACAAGAGCGTAGAAGTTGCGGCGATATTCTTGCGGAAGCCTCGCAACCGTCTATGTTTCTTTTCTTGCGTCTTGTCTCGCTTCTGTCATTGATGGGGGAACCTCCGGTGGTCACTACGGAGGCAGGAGAGAATGAAGGTGGGATCCGATCTTTTTCACTTGTTGAATGCATCGAAGAGGATATTCTTCCTTACTGCCATCCAAGTGTGGCGGCCTTCCTGCGTCGGTGTTGCGCCACCTATCTTTCCCGTAGTGGGGTGCGAGGAATTCGGGCGCTCGTGGGGGAGCATCAGAAGTTACTGGAGCAACTAACGGAGGAAGCTGCAGTAGGGCGCCTTCTTGTTGGTGTGCTTTGGGGTGGTGAAACTGACAAAAATAATAGTTGCTCCTCAAGACGCTACTCTTTCGGGAGCGGCTCGTTAGCATGGCAGGTCATTTCTCAACATCGTCAGGTCATATTTTGTAAGGACGGTCGTTTACTGCTGGAAATGATTCTTTCTCATTTGGGGACTCTTTCCCTCGCCATTCCGGATGATTACAGGCAACTCGTATGTCTGTCACCGTATGTGCACTGTGTCATTGCTGACCCAACGGATACTGCAAGTAATGCGCTGTCAGCCCTTCGTAGCGAGTTGGACTGGAATCCGGCCCCGGCAAGACATGTTTACATCTCACTGTTGGAATTGCTCTCATGGGTGGTAGAAGCTAAGGGGAAGGAGGAGGCAGAGGAGGGGAAACCGAAAGGCATACAGAAAGAACAAAGTATCGATGAAGCTGAACATGTGAGCACTTTGAATGATGACAGTGGGGCAAATCTGCCAACCTTATCCGATACGGCACGTCACTGGCATGTCGTTCAAAGTTTCTTTCGCAGGCGGCCATTAAATTTTAAATTTTTTTCTCCCTTCCTTTTGGAACGCATTTGTCTGATCTTTGTGCATAGCTGTCCGGACTTGGAGTTAATAATCACTTGTTTGCTGGCTTTGTGTCAGCAACAACGCGGAGGGTCTGGGGCTGACGTTTCCGCGCATATGGACGGAGAGTCTTCCTCGTTTTTTACTCCTCGATTACTCACGAGTCTCTGTTGTTTATTAGTAATGAATGGGTTGACTGGAAACTCTGTTCGGCAGTGGCGGCATAAAAATGGTGCACCGTCTTCTGCCTTGTCTCCAACGTGTGGTGATGCTGTTGGTAAAAGCAGACTTTGTGAGTGGCATCTTTCATGTTTTGAGCGCATGTTGCCGTCAATGGGTCATATCTTGAAGGAGAACAGGGAAGGAGCCGAGGGGTTCTCTGCAGCCTTTTGCGGTGATGGGGACGGCCTGGCGGTTGGAAAGAACGAGACGGCGCACTTGTTGGGCAGCATCGTGCTTGACGTGTTGCTCACTGATGCCCATTGGCTATCACTGAAGAAAGATAATTACTACGTGTTTCTTTTTGTTTCAGCGGCGGAATTGGTAGCTACAAAGGGCGCAGATGAAGCTGCCGTGCACTGCAAGAAATCCTCCTTTCCGTTGGGAGTTGTGTTGCCATCACGGCAGATGTCATCGTCTCACCCGAGTGGTGTTCGTCAGCGTGTGACGAAACTCAGGGATGCGCTTCGCGAAATGGGAGCGGAGAGGCGAATACAAATTCGTCGTTCAGTGTCACCGGTGATAAGGCGAGAGAAGGGAGTGCTGGAAGTGTACAGTCTGGCAAACGATGACGGTGAGGATGAGGACGATGTGGTGAACTTTTTCCTCCATTCCGTAGTTGGTGGGGATGGAGTAACAACGCAGTGCTCGTCCACGTGGTCTGACACGAAGGCGGAAGGCGGATGAAATGTGTCCGTGCGTGTGTCTATATTTGTGCCTCTTTGATGACTTCTCCGTTTCGAGGGTCCTTTTCTTTTCCCTTTCTTTTCTTTTCTTCACGTCCACCCATCTGTAAATAATGCGGGGCGTTTTCTTCTTGTTTTGTTCCATACTGTGGGTAACGTGTCTCTCCTGTTTTTTGGTTGTTTTTCCCACTCTGTGTTTGGTTCGTTTTTCTTGGCCAGGACGGGCGGGCGAAAAAGAAACATGCGGCCCAGCCGCCATTGGCTGTTAAAATGGGGACATGCGGCCGTCGCGGGCACCGTCATACCACCAAAACGAAAACGGCAGTTTGTCATGAAGGAGGGGCAAAACTCTCACCACGGCAGCGATGTCAACAGGCACTCCCAAAAACACGTCTCCTCCGCGTCGTTTCGTCCTCCAATTAACCTTACACATGAGTTATCGCAGCGCGAGCAGTACCGCCTGCATCAAGAACAAGAGGGGGCGGAAATGCTTCGCCGCAGCGTACCAGGGGAGTGGCTTTCACCCATCCCAAAGCGTTACCGATTGTATGACGGCATCGACGAACACGGCTACGAGGCGGCGCGGGTGTCTAAAGAGGACCGGCGAAAAATGCTTCAGGCAGCACTGGAACGAAACGCTGCGTCCGTGGTGGAATTCACAGAAGGTGGTGAAGAAAACATCGACTTGGGAGGGATGTCTGCAGGCGAGTACCATGGACAAACGGGTTCGATGACGATTCCAAGAGATTCTGCCCTGTACAACGCTGTATTGGCCCGGGAAGAGCTTGACTCACGGAAGCGAAACAACTCGTGGACGATGGCGCGAAAACGACAACAAAGCGGGGGGATAGATATCATGGGGAGGGGAGAGGACACATTGATGAGTGGGGGTGATGGAACTCAAGTGATTGACGACAAACGAAGGCGGCGTAGGCAGGACGAGGGCTCTTATACCAGTGTGTTCGATGAAAATCTTCTAGAACCCAACTATGAGAGCATTGGTCAGCCCCGCTCGACCTACGGGATGCGAAAAATGCTTGTCGCCGGCCTTACCAGCTATCAAGCTGTCATAACACGGGAAGAGGAGGCAATTATTTCGGATGAGTTATTGCATTTGCTTCAGGATACTCGTGCTGCATACATTGCGGAGGAAACGCGTTATTGTGTCAACCTCTACGAGAAGGAACTGGGGATACCAGGGAAGGACACACTGGCCTTTGCAATGAGTCGTGCCCCCACATTGCAGCGTGTGCTAGGACGCTTTTTTCACCTTGGTCTTATCCCAAGTTTACCCAACATTTGCCAAGTTAGTGAGATGATTGGGAACTTTTCTGGGTATCCAATTCACAAAAAACCGGCGACGATTGGCCCTTATGTTGGCATATTAAATCTCGTTTCCACAACGCTCATGTATCTTCAGCACTTGGACAACCCATGGTTCCCTCGACTGCACATGAACCCACGAAGCCTCTCTGTGATGGAGCAGCCCTGCCTGGGTGATTACAAAATGGGATACAAGTGGACTCACCAGCCTTTCCACACCTTTGAGTACGCTACACGCATCTCAAAGGATTACCGTATCGAAGTGATGTTCGCTACCGTGGAGGTTGCGCAGATGCGGTACCTTGATGATGCCGTTCGACTGACGGAGTACGCGGTGAAGAAGCAACAGGAGGAAGGTGCTGCAGACAAACGAAGGCTGTTACCACCCTCACCATCACCTGACACGCCGAGTGAAGGAGCAAACGAGTTCCGCGGGTCCGCGGACAAGTGGCTTGATCGACTTAATCGTCAGATGCACGCCTCGGAGAGGGGTGCGAGGTCGGGTGAGGCGGGTACCGCGATCGATGGAAATGCCCTTCGGGAGCAGTTGCTGGCATCGGGCTGCATCGGCGCGAAGTCACGAACACTTGAGACGTCCGTACAAGCCGCAGTCAGCACGGACGATGCGAATGAAAAGGGAAAGGAGAAATTCAGCCCTACGCAACGTCGCATGGCAGCGTTGAAGGCGCGTTACGAGTTTGCCAAACGACTAAAGGAGTCCAAGCCACAGGTGGGTTTGGGAGGTGGCGTGCATGTGATTGAAGGACATTCGCCACGGAAACGTGATTCCTCTTAACACATATTGCCGTCTTTGCATTATTTGGGCACTGGCCGTGTCGTTGCGTTCTCTAACCCCTCCATGGAAGTGAAACAAATTATTCTGATCATTGTCGGCTGTTCCAATCATTGCTCCATTCCAGGTTGTTATATATATATATATATATTTATTTATTTCTATCTTTGGTGGGAAGAAGGTGAGTGTTTTTGACGGTGACTGTCGCTTATGTGTGGAATTTTTGTTTCTTTGAGTGTTATTCCTTATTAAATTTCCTTCCAACTCCCTTTTTACTTGCGACTCCTCTCTAAATCACTCTGAGAGAGGAATGAGGAGTGGGGTGTAAAAGGAAGAAGCTCACACACACAGATAGAGAGTGAGTGGGTGAGTGAGAGACAAAAGAAGGGTGCCGAGGGCGTTGTATTCAAGGCGTGTCATTTGTGTTGAACGAGTTGAGATGCGGGTCTCGAGGGTTTATGCCATGTGCGGCGCTTCGATTATCTGTCGTCGGCCGTCTTGGACGCAACCGCGACAGGGAATACCCCCAAGCGTGGCCAATGCGCTCACACAGAGTGAGAGAGACACTGTTGGTGTGGAGCTTCACCTCCCATCGTTTGCTTCGGTGGCATTTGCAGGACGCGACGAGATGCAGCACCACGTGCGGCGGACGGTGGAAGCGGTAGACTGTGTGATTCATGCCTGTGCAGATGCGGCACTCCCGTTGGACTACATCACCTTGCGGTGTTGCGCACCATTTTCAGTTGGAGAATCGTGGACCGAGGAAGACTGGCACCTGGCGCTTTCTTTTTTGCGCGACGTGGCGATGCATCTGCTTCCGATGTTTCCAGTTTCTTTGCTTTTTCCCATTACAGCGTCTAACACGCTACCCGCGTCGTGCATCAGCAAAATGTTCGACATGCTTCATCGCGTAGGCTGGAAAAATTTGTTGGTGGGGTTGCCAGCTTCCACCAGCAGCGCCATGGTGGGTGCGACGGCAGAGGGGGATCAGCCCCCCATGCATCCCGCGGTGAGGGGTTGGATTTCGTTGCTGCACGGAACAGGTGAACATCCTCACTTTTCGAGGTCTCAGCCCATTCCATGGACGGGGCTATTTCCATGGATTTTGCAGGAAGGATTTTTTGACCGCTTTTCGGTTGGGCTTTCCGTGGACCTGTACACCTCGTTGCAGTCACTGTCTCTCTTAAGAGAGGCTGATGATGAGAGCGGAGGTGAAAACCGCGTCAGTTCCTCACCGAGGCAAGCCAGGAGGGAAGCTGGATCGAGTTCCACGCAGGAACAGCTCTTAAAACTTCGACAAACCACAAGAAAAGAAAAGGATTTGTTATGGAATCAGCAAGAGAAAGAGCAGCAGCAGCAGTTGAGGACGCAAAGTTTTCAAGGGAGTAAAGGGCCGGAGCTCATAACTCTTTCGGCACCCCCAAGGGAATTTTCAGACATGTTTTTGTCCCAGCACCAGTCTTTCCTGGATGCGGAGAACAGCGATGTTGGGCAAGAGATATTGATGATGGCCCAGTTTCTTCAGCAGGTATCCGAGGAGCATGCACCCAAGCAGGAAGATCGGCTGCAGAAAAGAAGTACAGCCTCAGTAGAATATGAAGTAGGCGTTGTACATGAGAAGAAGGGTACGAGCGATGCTGCAGCGGGGCGGCAACTGGGGAACTGCACGTTGTATTGGCAGTTGTTGGAGGAAATTGCACAGCGAACGCGTGCCCAGTACCTGTGCACAACACCGTGTGTCAATCCTGCTTCCCTACTGGCGTGGAAACAAGCTTGCGTGGAAAAATTTGGCTGTAAAAATAATGGCATGAATAATCAAGGCGATGATTCTTTTTTGGCTTTCCTACCTGTTGTGCATACACTGTGGCCCCTTCTTCATCCCGTGCAGGTTGAAAGAGTACGTCGGCAGAATATTTCCTCGGCAGTCATTATGGGCGACAAGGTTTTAACGGACGCGCTTGAATTTCTACCAAAGGAAACTCAGCAAGCGCTCCAACAGGCGTTGCGCGACATTCCCCCTTTGTATTTGCAGCGGGCGTTGAATGGTGCAGTGGAACCGCGAAGAGAAACGCAGATTCACCACGAGGCGGGCGGTGTGCGTTTGTCATGTGGGAACGACGGCCGTTCCAATGTCTCAGAAATTTTTGGTGCAGGCACGGCAACGCATCAGGCTCTTTTCTCTGATATGCCCGCAGGTGTATTGCATCATATCTGTGATGTGGAGAAGACATTTCGTCAGGGTCCTATGAAGAAGACCATTGAGAACTCGATTGAGACTATTCGCTCAGGTGGTGTACATGCAAGTAATTGTCATTTTCTTATTTCTGTTCCTTGTGACACGGAGCTTCCGGTGCTGTCTGAGTCTCTCCGACTCCTTTGCCCGTGAGCACATGAATTAGAAAAAGTAAACGGATAAGAGGAAAAAATACGCGAAATGGGGGCGGTGATACCGCTTTTGTCAGACTTTTTTCTGGCTTCCAGACTGCCGCTTTCGATTAAAATAATTTTTATGTCAGTAAGTAAAGTTTGCTGGCAGTCCATGTGTGATTGTGTGCGGAAAAGCTTCTACTTTGCGTTTCTCGTCTCTTGTCCCTTTGCGAGAGAAGTGACAGTACAGAGAAGGAGTGGTTTTTCTTTGGTTGTTGCTGCTTTTTCTCACTCCCTGGGAGTGCATCGGCGCACACAACAACAACAACAACAACAAAAACATGTGGCGTCGTGGTCAGTGTCTGCGTGCCCCTCCAAAAGTGCTCTGCTTGACAATGATCCCCGGTGGCGGGGCAATGACGCCGGCGCTGCAGCAGCTTGGGTACACCCCATACACCTTCCAGCACACCTTCACAGAGGGTCGTGTGAATACGCATCCACAAGAGTGGTGCATGGTG